TATTATCCTATCATTAACATTGATATTTTTACATCAAGAAAGTAAAGGAGAAAAAAAAATACATATTATATTACTAAAATTTCACAGTAAAATCTTGATATTCAGTATATCAAAAATTAAAATAGATATTCAAATTATAAAAAAAGTACATTACAATAATTTTTGTAAAAGAGATACAATGATATAAGTGCAAGTAAATTTAAAGTATAATCTTAAAAGTGTAGTTATAATAGTAAACAAATAAGATTTTAAACATACACCAATTTAAAGGAGATCAAACACCAACAAAATCTGTTTTACAAAAAATATGCAACAAATAGATAATAGACAATGTAAATAAAATATAATTAAGACCATCACATAAGTTTACATAATTATTATAATATATTTTTTAAAGTTTCCAATAACTCTGAGTTATGTAAATATACTTATCTAAAAGAGTAATGAATACAAGCATAAGAATACATAGGTGAATACATTATATTAATACTTTTAAAACATAAATGATAATAATGACATAATAATTGCATAAACAAAACAAAATAAGTATTTCATTAATTTATTATTTTGGTAATATTTAATTAATAATTTTTAAAGAAAATTAAAAATTTTTATTCCATTCTTTTAAAACCTAATATTGATAGTTGTAAACTACAACAAAATATATGGTAATAAATAAAATAAATTAATAGTAATTAATTTATTAAATAATCGTAACTAAAACTTTGATAAAAAAAAAATAAAAATAAAAGGAAAACGATAAAATATAAAATATATAAATAAAAACAAAAAGTTTTTAAAAAAACTTTTAATACATCTTTTTAATATTTTTGTTATTGATCACAGAATAAAATGGTTTTAATGATAACAAGTAAATATGAATTATTCATTATTCATTCAGTCATAGTTGCTTGTGTTACTGTTGAAAAATATTCACACAAATAAATTGTAACAATCAAAACAATAATAACAAAATAATTGTTAGTTTTTTTATAAAATGGTTAAAGACATTTTTCCTATACTAACGACATAGGAAAAGATCTTTTAAAACATCACAGCAATATAGATCTTAATTAATGAAATACAGTGGATTCCACTTAATGTGGGCATCCGCTCAGTGGCATATCCAAAATTCATTTAACGGGAGTATTTTAAAATTAAATAAACTTATGGTAAGTGGGAGACTCTGCCCTCCTCCTATATTATATAAATAAATACCATGTATTTATATAAATTATTATACTAATGAAAATGATTATATTAAGACAGTGTATGTAAAATTGATAAGTTGTATACAACGTTCATTCAAATTAGTAAGTAAATAAAATAAGTAGGTAAGTTTGTAATTTAATGAAATACCATAGAATATGGTCAATGGGGTGTGTTCTTACACCCATATCACCCACTCTCCTAAATAAGCCCCTGCATCCGCTTAGTGTAGGCAGACAGGTCTGGTCCCAATACAAATGTATATTAACAATGTTGAATAAAACCGCGCAATATGTGGGCAATTTTATTTTATCATAGTGTTTGAATATACACATACGTATTTAAAAACGACTAATTTAATCGAATTTCGTCATATCTATTCATATCATCCAAAGAGTAACTTTATTTAATACAAATATTATATTTAATTTTATTTATATACATAGTAATTATTTAAAAATTTTTTGAATTGTAAAAATAAAAACTTCTTTTGATATAATAAATTGTTGCGTTCTTGAACTAATTTCAATTTGTATGGGCAGCAGCTTAATGTAGGCAAACAGGGTTGGTCCTAACATGCTCACATCAAGCGGAATTTACTGTATTTCTAAAATTACGTTCTTTTATATATATTTAAATAGACACATTTTAACAACAATATTTCTTTTAACAATATTAACAACTCTTTGATGGTCCGTCCTAGCTACGGCCAGTTTTAATTGCCTAAACACTATAATGTTGTACATATTTTAATAGATGTTATCACAGTTTAATAAGTAAAATGTGCTTTTTTGAGTTGCACTCATTGTATAAGTAGAACCACATAGTTACTCAGTTTGAGATAGGAACACTTTTGCTCTTATAATACAAAACAAATTTGTTTTATTGTTATTAAAAACAAATGTTTTACTTTAAAGCAATTAGATTGATCATTGCATAAAAAATTGATCTTATTAAATTTATTAAGTAAAAATTTAACCGAGAATTTATGAATACTATACAAAATATAATGATTGTTTTATTCAATTTGTTATTTTTAGATAAATAATAAGATAGAAAAATAAATTAAAGTATATATAAAACTATTATTGAATATAATAATTAATAAACAGGGTAAATTAATAATGTACTATGGTAACTTTCAATAATTTTGTAGTTTTCTTTTTTTTTTAAAAAGTTCAAATTAAAATAATTTATAATTTTTAAGCTTTAACAAATTAAAAATAGAATAATATATTTTAAATGAAACATTTTGCATATCATAAATAAATGTAAAAAAAAATATTTGTATAAGTACAAATTTGAAATACTTCTATATTTTGGGTATTGAACTTCAAATAAATAATGAAATTATTTTTTAGCTTTTATTTCAAAAATATTTTTTATTTAAACAAACAAATAAATAAATATAAGTCCATAACATTAACAAGGCGAATAAATAATTATAAATTGAATGAAAGCAATTATGAATGTTTAACATAATCTACCTATCTATCCATTAAAAAAAATAGATTGTAAATTATAAGACTAGATAAAGATAGTGTTAAATTATAACTTTAAACAAACATATAACTTTAAATTAATTTTTTTTTTTTAATTCATAGAGTACAAGTTATTTTTACTGAATAATTTTCTGAGTTTTGTGGATAGTGTTTTTAAAAAAAGAATTTTAACAATACATTTGAATCATAACCCATCACACTAAAAGGTCATAAATGACAATGATTTTTTACTTTTATAACTATAAAAAAACATAGTCCATTATATGTTGAGACTCAATAACACAACATACTTGCAACAATACAACAATACAAAATTATTGTTAATAAGTGTATCTCAATTTTAAAATATTTTAAATAAAATGTATAGATAAAATTTCCATATTTTTTAATTTATTTTGTTATTAAAATATGTATAATATATATAAATATACTATAGTTTTACTATTCTACTAAAAATTTGGGACTAAAATTGTATGTTTGTTAATTACGAAAATTATAATGTAATATGTAAATTTAATAGATATTTTGTGTTCTTATCTTGATAAATTATAATTAGTTATCTAATTATATGGTTAAATCTTTTGAAATACATTTTACTATGTAATTTGAATGACTTACAAGTAAATTATTCATATTTATAGGTTTCCAATTTGTATTCATCCAACTTGAAACATCCTAAATGTATTTTAAAACAAAAATCATCGTAATATTAATAAGCAGGTTATAAATAAATCCCTCAATTAAAATGTAAAAAAAAAATACTTGTAAACTTATAATAGTTCAGCTATTAATAATTGAATAATATTTTAATTTTAATAAACTTACAGTAACTATTTCATCATAAATTATGCTCCGTGGTTGTTTAAAGCAAATATCTTCTTCAAGTAATTCAAATACTTTTAAATTGGGACCTCTCAGTCTTGCAATGCCACATACATCTACTGGCTCAATTAAGTATCCTGAAAATATATACATTTGTAATTTACAATAATTTAAATTAATTAATCCAAATAAGGATAGTTTATAGTATTAATTAAATATCAACAAATATTTTGTTTAACATAAATAAAATAAACTTAGGTTTTCAATTAAAAATAATTATTATTGATTTAGCGCAATACTATTGATTATTGAATTGACTATTTAATAATATTCTGAAATATATCTCTTATAATTCAATTATGTCATTCATTGTTTAATTAATAGATTAATAAAATTTACCTAGTATAACAAGTTCTGCTAATTTGCTGCAAACCCATGATAATATTATAAGTGGATTAGTATCTTCACCGGCAGATGGATCTAGTTGTTGTCCTTTAAGTAAAGAACCAGGATTCATTGACTGATCATCAACCCAAATCAATGATTGTAATGTATTTCTATAGTCTAATAACTTATGTAAAACTTGTACATTCATCTATAGAATTCATAAAATACAATTTAATATGTTAAAACACAAAGTTATTATAACAAGCACATTAAAATAAATTGTTAAAATATTATAAAACGTACCATTTTACAAAACAGTACTTTTAGATGAGTTAGAGGCATCGATGGGCGAAGTAATTTAGTATGAAGATATTTGGCAACAGTATGACAGTTAATAATTGTTAACCTCAGTTCAAGTTTAGGACTAATAAAAATAATAAGCATACAATTATAATTTCATAGTAAAGTATGAACTTATTATAATAATAATTAAGTATAACTTAATTCACATAGCTAATCAATTTAAGTTTTTAAACACAATTGTGTACTACCCAGTAATTACCAATATTTTTTAACATCAGCCCAAATGTCATCGCTTATTTCTATATCCAACTCTTTATGAACATGTAAAACTAAGATTTCTAGTAGAGTCATAGAACACAGAGCTGGAAGCAATTTGCAAGTATTGGAATTGAGGTCTAAACTTAATTTCTAAAAAAATTTTTAAATAATTAACCAATATTACTAATCAGTAAAGGAATAAATATACCTTTAAATTTGTCAGTGATGACATGCTATCAAAGGTAGAATTGAAACATATGGTTTTGCTTTCTTCATTAAAAATTGATGGTCCCAATCCAGCCAATTCTAAACGCTGTAAGCTATGACAACTATACTTAGCTAGCATATGAATTAAAACATTCCAATAGTAAAACATAAAATATCCAAAACTAAATCCTTCAATATTTCCTTTCTGTACAACATTCAATATGGCAAATTCAAAATAATTTTGAATTGACCACCTATATGTACACAACTGAATGGAACTATCCTGAAATCTGATTTAATAGAAAATTAGAAGACATAAAACCAGAGTATTATTTTTCATATTATTATTTCCTTAATTCTATTCAATAAGTATTCTTACATTTTGTTTTTAGATACTTCGCAATGACCAAGTTTGATGTCAATATTTCTTAACAGTTGATTATCCATCAATGCTTTAATAACAGTAGAAGCTAATTCAAAGCATTGTGTGCTACGAGAATCAAATGTAAGGTGGAAATCACGCACCAGTGTCGCTAAATTCTTATTGGTATGCTTCACTTTAGATTTGACTTCAGTAAATGAACTTCCAGATAATGATATGTCAAGATATAAACTATGCCAAAAGAGTGGATGATAAAGAGCAGTTCTCCAATGTTTGCAAGTGGATGAAGCTGACACTCTAGACTTGGGCGACAGATACGTAAACACCTGGTGGAGAGCCAAGCTAGGCAAATCATTCCAATTGACGGTTTCCATTCTGGTAAATAATAATGATCTGTTGTACAATTTACAGACATTTGATTAGTTGCATTTTCAATTAAGGGTCAGAAGTAGTATCAGTCAAACAGTACAATAACAATAATAAATAATGATATTACGCCTTGGAGGCAACTAAAATTTAATAATGGATTTTGTAATTGATTTATTTTATATCAATCAAACAGGTATGTTTCAGAAAATATTTTGAGTTTATACAAGAGCTGAGTAAATTGAACATTATAACAAATTTGGAAACACAGATACAAACGACAGCTGATACGGAAACGATCAGCAGGTGTAAATATTATCGTCAATAGTAAGTAAATCATATGATTATCAGTGTGTTCAAGTTTTACACAAAGAATATCGAAAACAAACGTCGTGTAAAATCATTTACTTATTTAGAAATATTATAAAATACATTAAAAATCGGCGTTATAGTTTAATACAGTTTATAATAATCTATATACAGCGGAATGACTAGAAAACGATTAATTTCTCACACCCTGCACAATATTAAAGGGGTTATTGTGGAGATGCAGTTTGAAAATTACAAAGAAAAATTGTTAATGTCATTTTTTTATGGATAAAATACAATTTATCAATCCCATCGTTGGTTTTTATATTTTTCACTAGATTTCTTATAAAAGTCTTAAATGTTAACAGGTTTTTATGGGAAACTAAACATTCATCAAAAATGAAAATTCATAGAAGTATTGAAATTATCCGTTTCGGGTATTAGAGTACATAAATGCATTATGTCACATTTAATTTATTATATTTAAACCATACGAAATAATAATAATAATTATGCCACAATTTTATTTTTAAAAATATGTTTTGTTTTTAACACGCGCTTTAGGTAATTATTTAATTTTTCGGTTGAAAATTAAAAAGAAAATTCAGCCTCTGAGTTAATTCCAAAAATCTTTTAAAATTTTTTATTTTCATAACTATTTTTAATTGTTGTAAGTAACTACAATATTCAATGGAATTTCATTAAAAAATAATTATAAACAAAAACGTTGACCATTAAACAAAAATTACGGTATAGACTCAAACCATCAGAAATGATCTACATAATACTTCTTAGACTAAATTAATATTATTATTGATTATAAATGTATAATCAATGGTTATATGTAAAGTAATCATCACTTGTCGATTGTTACCTATACCGTGTATTCAATTTTAAAGGCAACAGGAAATATTTCGAACGCAAGACCTTGAATTTGATTCGGGTTTTTCTTACAGGGTACAGGACTTATAAATTCATATGTTTTTGATAAATTCTAATTTTAAACTTTTTTTATCTGCGCATGCGCAGTAAAATTAAAAATTCTTAAATAGAAACCACCATTTTTGACACTGGATTCGGTTTACTCTATTTTTTTGGGCAACTTTGATTTTTACAGTTTTTTGATATGTTCAAAATTGACATTTTTAAGACGACCGAAAGTTTTAAATTAGGTAATTCGTATTCATCGCATATTTTAAAGCATTTTCCAATAAGATGTTCCCGCCCATAATGCAATTATTGTTCGAAAATACCTTAACCAAACTTTTAGCAATAAGTGGATGGGTTCATATGGTCTAGTACAATGGCTCGCTAGATCACCTGATATAACACCGTTAGATTATTTTTTATGAGGACATTTAAAAACAGTAGCTTATGAAAATCCACTTATTAATCTTGATGATTTGAAAAATAAAATAATCATTGCGTGTAATGAACTCACAGAAGATCAAATAATAGCAGCTACACAAATAGAACTACTTAGACGAATGGAAGCATGTGTTGAAAATAATGACAATAATTTTGAACAGTTTATGGAATAATAAATTATTATTATTATTTTATGATATTTGTTTATAAATTCAATGTTATAATAAATACATCTTGTAGTTTTAATAAAAATAAATTGTTATAATAATATTTGTAAATGCTTGATTAAAATACGTAGAGCGTTGAAATATGCGATAAATACGAATAAAAAATATCAATTTTGAATATATCAAAAAACTGTGTAGATCAAAGTTGCTAAAAAAAAATAAAGCAAACCGAATCCAGTGTTAAAAATGATGGTTCCTATTTAAGAAATTTTTATCTTACTGCGCATGCGCAGATAAAAAAAAAGTTAAAAATTAGAATTTATCAAAAATATATATATTTATAAGTCCTGTACCCTGTAAAAAAACCCAAATTAAATTCAAGGAATTGCGTTCGAAATATTTCCTGTTTCCTTTAAAATTGAATACACGGTATATTCCGATGTTGTTTTTGTTATTTTTTTATAAACAGTGTCGTCTATCCAAAGATTTTTACTAAACAAACTCATAACTATCAATTTATGTGATATTTCCAGTGATCTTCTCATAAATATTACTGAAAGTATACTTCGTCTACGAGTGTTCGAATATGGACCTTTTTACAATTTAGACGATGGAGGTGGTCAAAGACGGATCCAGGGGGAGGCACTGGGGCAAGTGTCACCTCCGTTGGAAAAATTTAATATTACAAATTTTAGTGTCGTTATAATCTTTTAAAAAATCATTGGAATCCTCCAAAAGATTTTAAATTCTTTTATTCCATTGAAAATCGTAATGGAGAAAAAATATGTCGATACTTAAGTCAAAAGCATCTTAATTTATATTTATGGACTGTTTTTTCCGAAAATCAAAAAGGCTTGTTTTGTAAATATTGTAGTTTATTCTATTTTAAAGGACATGGTACTGGAAATAAAAAGCTATGCCTCTAGGTATACTTGTCACTAAGCCTTTGGTGAAATTTAAAAACTTATTGGGAAATTCGGGAGATTTGAATACTCATCAAAATACAAAATTTTGTTGAAACTGTTTTGAAATCTAAAGATTTTATAAATGATTATGAAAACTAGGAAAAAAAATGAACTTAGTAAATACTCAACGTATGAGAACAGTTGACGAAAATAGAAAAATAATGTCTCATTATTCAGTCACTTTTATTTTTAGCAAGACAAAATATAGCCTTCAATGGCCATAGAAATTATGAAAATTAACTTGATAATATTGATTCAAATCAAAATTCCATTGTAGGAAATAAAGGAAATTTTAAAGAACTGTTAAAATTTAGAATTGAGTCTAGGGATATCGAATTAAAAGGACATTTTGACTACACCATAATATTATAGACAATTTCTTGATCTTTTTTGTAAAACGAATGAATATTTTAATAATTTATAATTGTATTTATCACATTTTAATTTAATTATGATTTTTAATGCTTGTAATTAATTTTAAATTTAAATAGTATTATAAGAATTATTAAAATGTTTTCATAATTATATAATGCAAACGAATGTTACATTATTCTAATGTTATACTTATATAATTATATAATAATAACGTGTCCAATTCTGGACAATTCTAACTATTTACAAATAAGTAAAAAAAAGCAATATTTCTTACTGTCATAAATTTATAAATTATATTTCAAATAAGACTCTATTGATACTATAAATATAAGCTTTTTTCAATAGTTTAAATTGAGTCTGCAAAAACTCAATGTATACAAACTATAAATCATGTGATATAATTATAGCTTTATTGTTATAATGTTTATATTATTATACCTAATGGTTTTATTATATTAACATATACCGATCAAATTTGATAACCGGAATCATATTACATCATAATAGTTATTATTTTTGTAATATTTGTATGATGCATGAAATATGTATACATATTAAATGGAATATATGCGTGATGTGACTAATATAAGTATAAAAATTAATTCTACAATGATAATGTATTGGTAATAATAGGTGTATCAATATGATAAAGTGTCAATATTGAGTAGTCTTCCTGGTATAATGTCCTCTATTATTCGACTCTTATGGTTAATGTTTAAATTTAAAAGATAATTTATTTTTAATAACATTAAAATTATTAGTAATATCATCAATTTTATTCCTATATCAAATTATTGATGAAATTTCAAATATTTTGTAGTCTATAAAATATTTAAAATTTCATTCAATGGATATTCAAAGAATATAATATATATTTAATCAAAATACAATATAAATATAAATATTATATATAATATATATAATACATATATATATATATATTAAACATTTTATTGATACGATTATTTAGATAAAACTTACCTTATATATGTATGTATTTATATTTTATTTTTATTAGACTTTGATTATTGATATTTTTTATATGATCACTATGCGCCTATAGTTGGTAGCTTAGAAGAATACAAAATAACACAAATCATAAGCACATACTTGATTTTTATTAAAAAAATTCTTATAAGACTGCTTAAATGCTACTGTTTTGTGTTAGGCACGATTAAGAAACGTTAGTTTTATTTTTAAATACTATTTTAGTCTGATTTAACATCTGATTGACAGTACTACAGGAAAACGAATGAACATCGAAATATTAATTTGTTCATTAAATACAATCAATGGTTTATAAACATAATTATTATATTTTATCGTTGAATGTTAAATGGATCACCATTATGTCATTATATAATTGTTATTGTATTAATGTTTTCAAATATTGTCAAAAGTTGCTTAATTATTACATCGTTAAAATATCACCATTACAGGAAAAAATAAAAATTCTCGATAATGTGTGTAGTTGTGTAAATGGTATATTTTTAAAACACTAGTTATTAGTACTAATGCCATAATATGAGTAGTATATAATAAGTATAATAAGAAGTATTAATGTTTTTATTGCTATTCGAAATGTATACTGTATTGCATATTATATTACGCTTTACGAGAATTTAGATTTAGTCATATAACTGAATATACGGACCCTATAATTACAAGCAACACCACGAACAAAAAAACATTAACATTAAACATTATAAACGTATTCTTAAACGTCATAAAAAAACGACATGATGCAGTGAAAATTGAATTCTATTTCTAACAATCGGAGTCGGGAAAAATTTAATCAGTTATGAATTATAAATACATTTGAATGATAAATACATTACAAATACATAAATACATTTAAATGATAAAATTGAGTAACTATGAAACAAAAAAGCAGTTCGTATAGTAATATCTAATAGAGATTTCATTAGAGAAAAAAATAATCATAATAATTGATAAAATTGAATAGCTACATCCAGTGCTCGAATTAGGAAAAATTAAGTAGAAGAGCTCAGTCTAACGATTTGAAAACTGCGTTCTATGTGCACAATTATTTAACACAGACCCGTGGTGGGTTTTTTCCCTGACCCCCCCTCTCC